CTTAAACCGCATAAACACATTTCATTACACCAAATACACAAAATAATGTTCTTTTTAGCGACATCATATGACCCCTTTAATGTTTTTGGGTTCCTAGGCGCTCTAGATGCTTAGAGAGGAATGCATCCAGACATTTATGTGCACTCTGCATCAATGCCAAGCCCAACAGAAACAGACAAGGAGAAAGTATTTGCCAGTGTTCTTGATATGTGCCGTTAAGAAAGTATAGAAAGAGAGAATGAGAGTACGATAAAGAGAGAAGAAAGGAAAAGTACAGTATTACTATTTCTCTTCCTTATTAATGCATAATATTTTGCATACATATATATTCTGAAGGGCAATGAAATATGATTTTTAAACAAAATAAGAAAAACTTGCACATCTCCAACATGTTCAAAAGTTTTCATGCCTTTTAATGCACTGTGTTTCCTTCTTGCGCATCAGTGACTGTTTGAATCTTTTGTAATAGTTGCGTTTGAGTCCCTCAGTTGTCGTCACTGTGAAAAAATGGATCTCAGAATCATACGGTCTCTGCTAGAAAGGGTTTAAATATGCAAAAGATGCTGGAAAACCAAGGAATTTGTGGGACCTGGATGATTTTTCTGAAGAACAGTGGGCTCTTTAACTGTCCAGGATAAACAAGAGACTCATGAACAACCATCCCACCAAAAAAAAAAAAAATAAATAAAAAATTTGTAGATCATGTTTCATGTAGATCAAGCGTATCTAAACTTTTGAATGGTAATTTTTTATAAATTCAGCTATTATTTTGAATGTGGACTATATGTAAATATCTTATTTAGGACAGTTCCAAATAAAAAATAAATAACATGCATTTTGTATGTGTATCTCAGGTTATTTTCCTCCATTTATGTACATTGCTTTGCACTGTTTTTGTTTAATAATATTTTCTTTGTAATGTAGAATTATTTACCATGCCAAAAAAGCTGAAAATAGAGGAAGAAAAAGAAGTCAAGAGAGGGATGAGTGAGTGTATGTATGTATCTGAAAATGATCAGGTACAGACAGATATCAGACAGCAAGCACACAAAGACACATCTCAGCTGTTCAACACTCACATCACCACTATCAAATATTAATAAACAGGTGTGTGTCGGCTGCTATTGTTTGCCTCAGGGGATCTAGATCCTCATCTGACAACATACAATATACATACAAAATAAAAGGTCTCAGTATAAATATCAAATATGACAGAGTAGGTGCACGCATACACTGAGCAAGCGCAAACAGCTATTTGGTCTAGGCTACTTTTCCTAAAAGCTCCTTATAAGACAAAGAATTTTCAGATTTGCATCTAAGAGAGTGGAGTGGTTTTTATTCTCAATGCATTGCATGTCTTTAATTCTTCAAACCACCCTGAGAAAACCCAGCAATGTGCACCCCAGCAAAACACAAACTTCTGAAGATAAAACACATTGCCCAACACACAGCACCATCGAAACAGCTGGATTCAAACACACTTAATGAAAGACATCAGAACTAAGTGTTTCCTTCCGACAACATAAAGCGCCGTGGCTGCAAATGAAGCCTTTTTGAGGAACGGCTGATGACATGGGCCAGGAATTCCAGCCTGCTAGGGTACAGCACCACCACATAATGGGCAGGAAAACAAATATGGGATCAGAGCCTGGGAAAAGACCATTTAGGACAGTTAGAAAGGAAAGGATAGCTTATGGAGAGTGGGGGTAATTCAGAGAACAAACAGAAGTGTTTTCTCATTTGTCTCACTCCAAAATGAGGTGACAGGTTGTTGGCCCATTCCATGTCTCTCCACATTTTGTGAATTAATAATCACAATACTGTATATGGCTATGAAGGGAAAATGTCACCAAAATGTATAAAAATATTTAGATCACTTTTAATAACTAGATCAAATTAGATCACTTTATTAACTAGATAACTAAATTAAAACTAGGCAGTCAGCGTTGTTATTGTTAACTAAACTAAAACTATAAACTAAAACTATTAAAAAATAAAATAAAAAATTAAAATAAATAAAATAAAATAAAATAAAATAAAAATGTTAGATGAAAAAACAAAAAAAAAATAAAATAAAAAAAGCGAAAATTTGAAATGTTGCCTTGGCAACTAACTGCAATAAAATAAGTTTAGGTTGAAATACCAAATTACTAAAACTTCAAACTGAAATAAAAATGAAATGAATTATAGCTAAGATTATGAATTAAGGCTTTATAAATAAATAAATAAATGCAAGCACATAACAAAAACAAAACAAACTTTTGTTTGTTTTGTTTGTACCAAAACAAACAAAAATGAAAATGAAAACAAAATATAATAACAAAAGCTAATTCAAAATATTAATAAATACTATAATAGTATATAAATAATACAAAAATAACTACATAACTAAATAACTACAACATTTTCTTAAAAAATAATGAAATAATAAATTATGCTTGCTTTAGCATATCTCATAATAAGTATGAGAAACAGCTTCAAAAGCTCAATCTGCTGTGTGAACGCAGCATATCTCTGGCTCTGTGAGTAATGAGACACTTTCCAAACCCTGATTAAAGCCAGTCTGGATCATTCACATCCTCCCTCCGCTGAACCACACCAACAAGACGAGATAAAAATAATGAAACAGATGCTGGAAACATTTTATAAGCCACTGTTGGCAAAAGCTATAGGAGAAAACACATGTAATGGTGTTACTGCAGCGAGTACAGATGCATTCATCTTGAATCCAGCTGTTGGTGATTGCTGCTCTTTTCAGCTAAAAGCAATTGCTTCATTTCACTGATGAACAGCATATTATCATTGTTTGGAAGTTCTTCAAAGGAGGGAATTCACTAAGAATGGACTGCGCTGACTGATAGGGCTATTTGCATGCAGTGCTTGCGTTGTTTTAGCAACCAATTCAGTAAGGGAATTATGAAACGCTGCAATCACGATGACAAATTTGTGCTGAATGCAATTTTCATGATGTGATTTCTAGGGATGCACCGATGTATCGGCCGCCGATATTTATCGGCCGATTTTTCTTCAATTTACAACCATCAGCATATCGGCTATATAAGGAAAAAGGCCGATATAACAAACCGATGGTTTATTAATTAACTGCGTGAAGGCACTGAGCTGTATAATGTCTGTTGCATAATCCTAGCGCTGCTGTCTGCACTTTAATGCTAATCAAATAACAAAAGACAAAAGATCGCACACTATTGACTAAATAACTTTGTAACTTTCATAAGTGTAGCGGACCTCATCTGAATGATGACCAAAACTTTACTGATGTTTTATTAAGTTTATTGCGTCCTTTTTCACTCCAAAAAAAATCACCAT